GATTTTGAAAGCTAACCCGTGGAAACAAACCAAAGTAGTATGTACATATTCATACGGGACCTGGTGCATGCGCGGCCATGGATAATTATATACTTAATTTTATTCAAAATATAATTACATTTCACATCAAGTATAACCCCGTTGGTGTGAAATGCCCTACCACAATCTTTTTATTTCGGATTGTGGGGTGAGACCTTAAAGCTTGCGCGCTGGTCTGGTGAGGGTTTTCTTTTTATTAAAAATCAATTTTATTAATTAAAAACAGCCGATTATAAATTAAATAAATGCCTATCGACCGCTGTCACCAATGCGATGACAATACCAGGGACCATACAACTTCATTGGTGGATACGAACTTTTTATTTAGAGGTGGTTACCTCCCTGAGAAGATAGTGCCATAGCAGGGTATGGTATAGTGACGTGTGTTCTGACGTATTTAAAAGTCACTTACACTGTATTCCATATACTAACATTTAAAATATATGCAATTAAACGTTCAATATATAAATTAAAATTAAGCAAATTAATGTAATAATTGGAAATATATACGTTTACATTTTTTTTCTATATCGAATTTAATTTGACTAAATATTTCTGTGTGTTAACGACCTATTCTTATAATACTAATAACATTCACGGCCGCTAATAAATAAAAAAACACATTATCCTTTGAAATTATATAAATCTGACTCTAGCTTATTGATAGCTTATTGATGATTTCGTGAAATTATGACATGCATCATATCTATAATTATTATATATCGTATTTATAATTACTAACTAATAACACTACACAAATTAGATTCATTTGCTTCATTATATATATATATATAGTATTTGTCCCAGAAGACACTTTTATTTTATTGTCGCAGTCTCTTTTTGATATTCCAAAATTGTTCCATTTAATCTTCATGGTACGAAGATTAATTGGAACAACTATAATATAGTAATAACATTTGTAAAGTAATATTATCAATTTGCGTCAGTTCTTCTTGCATGCTGAGTAGAACTACATTGACGGCATAGTCCATTGATATTTTGTTCAAAGAAAAAAAATGAGAAATTTTGTATATTTTCTCTGATATTATAATCGTAAAAATTTTTAATGTAATTTGAAGTGGCAACGTAAGAAGTCGCATTCGTTCGGGGTTGGAGTACTTTGGCGCCTTTAAAGTTACAAGGAAAAGTGAGGGAAAATTTCTCTTAAGTATTATCGCGATTTTAGAAGACAATATTAATTGATGAGGCAACTATATCATTATAGTGTCACTGGTCGATTACTTGGACTTCTGAAGTCTTATTTAAGTGGTAGAATACAAAAGGTCAATGTTAATGGTGGTCGGTGGTCAGGATGTCTAGTCAATATGGTCGTGCCACGGGATTCAATTCTTGGACTATTTCTATTCTTAGTTTATGTCAATGATCTACCACATCTTGTTAAGGATGGACATGGGATCGTACTGTTTGCTGATGACTCTTCTTTACTTTTTTAAGATTAGTAGGCAACAACCAGCGTTTGACGAAGTAAACAGTACCATCTCTGAAATAGTTGAATAGTTTAGCATTAATAATCCTTGAGAAGATTCAAGGAATACAAAACTTGTTATGTTTTCCTTGGATGATGCAAAACTGATCGACGCAAACGTAATGGTCAAAAACGAGGTACTAGACGTTGGAGACACGACATTATTTCTTGATCCCACTTTAGATGCTAAGTGACGTTGAAATTCTCATCTTACGAGATTAACAAAGAGGCTTAGTTTTACAGCAAACACAGTCAAAAGAATTCGGCGTCTGACTGATGAAATCACAACGAGACCAGTTTATTTCAGTTTCTTTCACAGTCTCATGACCTATGGAATTTCGTTATGTGACCACGCAACTGATATTAACACATGTTTTATGTTACATAATCGGGATGTACGTGCCATTTATAATTTAAACTAGAAGTATTTCTCAAAAAAAAAACATTTTATTAAATTAATAATTTAACTATAACGTCACAATACATACACGAAAGCCTAGTACATGTATATTAAGATGCATATAGAATCATTTCAAAAATGAGCGACATCCATAACATTAACACTAGACATGAGAACAATCTTGTTACTCATAAAACCCGTCTAAGTTACCAAATCATTTAAGAGGCAATGTGTGCGCTTTTATACTAATATCCCAGCTGAAATTAAAAATTACCATGTTATTTTAAAGTTAAATTGAAAATTTTCCAATTTTATGAATTGAAACTTTTTGTTTAAAAGAAGTTATATGATTAAGTCTATTATAGCGTATCTGAATATCTTAATAAAAGAAGAAAACCATAGGATTGAACTGCTCGACTATCAAGTTGCGTCATATTATTTCTAAGTGTTGTACAAATAAATTAATTATTCAGTACTTTGTATCGATGAGCAAAAAAGAGCAACCCGTAAATTTCTTTCCCATTCTTCTCAAGATGAATCAGCATTTAGAACAAGTAATAATTTTAATGTCATAAAGAATTCGTTTAGGACGTATTTCAAGTCTAATTCTATTAACTACGAAATAAAGTAATTTTTGATTTTATTTTTTTAATTTCATTCATATAGTCTATGCACTTCATAGACTATATGAATGAAATTTAAAAAAATCATATATTATCTTATTTTCACTTTACGATTGCCAAGGTAAAATTTGCAAATAATCCTGATCTCCTATCGCAGGTCGTTGGTTATTTGCTATTAAATAAATATGCTTTCATTTAATTTATTAAATGTGTTTTGCAAAATATAAGCACAAACATTATGAGACAATATCTTTAAATTTCAACACATCACCAGACTAAATAAATGTGCTAATTTGGACAGTAATCGATATTTGCATCGTCTTTTGTGTATTTTTTTTTTAATTTGACAGACCACTAAGAAATTGCCTGTACCAACGTTGGCGCCATGGTACAATATTGATTCCACATCTTTGCTTACCTAGCGATCATAAACAGTTATAAAGTCTATCATCTTTACATCATTTCATTTCATTTGTTTTCTCCTTTTCGCTAAAAAGGAGAGATGGAAAGCTCGGCAAGGTTCGCCCTAGAAAATCCTATACAGATCATATTGGTTGCATATTAAAAAAGGGCCAAATCGTAATCACCCGAAACCGATAACAAGATTGAAAATGAGATTCCTGCATGAAAAGATTGATATATGCCAGTGAAATAAGAGAAGTATACAAAGATCGTACGTACCATGTGAAAATCTATAGTCTCTGCCTGCCCTTCCGGGAAATAGGCGTGAATTTATATGACTATATTATTATTGAATTTGAATTTCTACAATACAAAATATTATTATCATTTTTTATACACATGTTTGAATGAACGTAAATTTGAGACAAAAGCCCAAAGGAGATATTATGTTTTAATAAAAGTGAAATAAGTAACAGTTAAGTTTATTTTAAGTTAAATTTTCGTCACTCCACTATAAAGGCCATACTAAAAATAGCTATCATAAAAATATCAATACAAATCTATAAACGTTTCAGTCAGGAATAAAAATATCGGGAGAGGATATTACCTTGTAGTGGACTCAAGCCTTAGCCTTACTTATTCGGTGATGAGCGAATTGCGAGCATAATGCCTTCGAATCGGAACGTACTTAATACTTATCAAAGAACAAATCTAATTTAAATTAAGATCAAATCACGCCATTTGCTTCATGCCTCTAAAATCACGTAAAACCATCAATACTGGACGGTGTCACCTCACTGGTGACGACAATCGTTAGCAATCTTCTAAAAAAATCAATTGATCCTAAGCATATGTACAATGGAACCATTGTACAGATAAAAAGACATATAAATTATGAAAACGAAATTAAAATCTAAAATAAAATCATACAAAAGTTACAGGATGCATTCAAATGCGAAAACAAAAGAAGAGAAAATTGAAACAAAATGTAAACGAATCATAAGGTGAAAACTCCACGTTCACAAAAATGAATTACTTAAACATACATTAGTTAATCAATAGTTCGTGTTGTTTAGAAATGTTATTTATTAGCAATGTACACACATAAAGTACCACCAAGAAGTAAGCCATTTTCTTAACAATACATTATAATGTATATGTATTATGGTTGTATTCCGTATGAAAGTGATGTGCAAGATTTCTGTTGCATTAAGATATTTTTCATCGATATCACCGACTAAGATTGTTTTTATTAAAAAAATATTTTTTTTATATTCACCGTTTCAAAACTCTAATAATCTACAAATTATAATAACCAAAAAAAAAATACTTCTATGCCCATAATTTTTTATGATTGTTTTTACTCTTAGAAAAATGGTAATAATAATTAGCATTTGTGTAATTATAAATTCCGTAACGATATATATTCCATAACAAGATTTTGCGCTTTAAGTTTTATACCTTATTCCACTTTTTAATCCCACAACGACGCTATTAAACGTCTACTCGTCCTTCTCATAACGCTTACAGTTGTATAACATTTTAAACATCACAATGCAGATCGCATGCATATAACTAGCGAGTTTACAATGTCACGTTAAATAATCGATAAATAGTTGAAAGTATGCCTGACGCCTAAATTTGCTATTGTGAGTGTTGTTCGTGAAACTTTGCTACTCCAGTAGTTACTGAGTTTATATTTTTTTCTTCGCATTTATCTTATACTAGCTACCCGCCCGGCTTCGCATGAGTAGCAGTAATTATTATCTATATTCAGATGACTTCTAGTGGATGAATAGGAGCGGTTATGTGCCGATGTGTTATTTATTGGCGAAAATATTAAATGTGGCAGATCAATACTATTGTCAACTGGGCAGCATGTAAACGGGCCAGCTCTACCGGTACAACACCACAATACAGGTGTGAAATAACAGTTTTCGTAATTTCTTTTCGTCCAGTGAATGAGAGTTCTATTGGTCCACTCCTCCTCCATCAGCCTCTTCCCACTCTATCAGCCCACTCCTTCCTCTATCACATATGCTATTTGACTACCTAATTGGCACAGTTGGTAGTGACCCTACTTGCTGCGTTGGGTGCGTGGGTTCGATTCCCACATAAGACAAACATTTTTTTATTCGATTAAAAGATAATGTTTTTCTTGAGTCTGGATATTTCTATGTATTATACATATATATTTACAAAAAAAAAGTATAAATGTATTACATCAACTATCTGGTACCCATAGTAGAAGCCCCGTTGCTTTATTTGGGACTAGATGGTGAATGTATCTATGTACCAAGATATTATTATCGTTATAATTGCGAATCTATATTCCTACCCAAGAGGTCGAAAACGCACCGGTGACTGCTTCGAAATCGCGAGTGTCGTAGATACATCGCTTTATATACATATACATGTATATATGTAGATAATTACACATTAGCAGATCTAGTAAATTCGTAAATTAATATAAAGATATCAATTTTATGCACTTACTGTCTCGCATAGAAATATTATTTGAATACACACATACATAAATTTCATATGGAGTATTCATAACAAACTTACATATTTTTTATATAGATAAAAAGTATATGGTGAGTGGATGTTGTATTCATCAGTTTTCAATAATCTTAAAATGTCTGATATAGTGAATGATTGATATTCAAAAACGATTTTATCATTTGTCAAATAGTAAACAATCGATCATAGAAATAGTATAGCCTATCGCCATCGCGTGTTACTAAAACTACCGCATTGCAATATTTAAAATATGTATAGGAACGGAATGCGACTGGTTCGCGAGTTTTGGCCTTAGCTAAATGAAGGTTGTGGCTAATGACAACAAACGATATGAGCTACTAATAAAAAACGGTATATTACAACATCTTTATACATGAAAAATTCCCGTATAAGCACTAAAGGCAATGCGTCCGTTATGAGATTTTTTTTAAGATGAGATGAGAGAAGCAACGACGGGCTTCCCTATTTCTAGACCATGGGGCGAATTAAATTTTGACGAATGTACTTAGCTCAGCTTGCATGAGTCGGTTATTTTCAATAATAAATTTATTCTTGAAGTTTTTAAGACGAATTTTTACAGTGACAGATAACAGCCACTCGTTTAAAAAAATACCCCTCAACATCCAAAATGGAAGTAGATTTCTCCCTGCTAGTTACAATGAATTAATGCAAATAATTCCCAAATCTAAGCTAAATCATATCCTTTAAAACTTATTCGATTAAAGAGTCACCGAAATAGTATTTTTTGGTATTCCTATAATTGAAAATGGCCACCATTTCTAATGAACTGGCCGATTTTGTTCGTCTTCTAACCGATGCAAAGTAGATGCGAGTTTCATAAAGATTCCTATCGTACGCTATCGTGATAGATACTCATAGCATCTACAAGTATTTGGTTTCATGGTTGATATTTTCAAAAGTTCTGCCATGAAACCAAATACAATAATTATATTTCAACAGAAATCTACGAAAGAATCAATATTAAAACTTATCGGATAAAATATATTATTTTATTAACACGCTTCTAGGAACTTGATTTGTAGCTATGTATGTTTTTTAACGAAATTGTCAGTCATTAGAAATTGATGTGACACGACACATGAATTGAAAATTTTTTTTCGTATATGTGACTTTACAGTAACAGCAAGGCAGCAATTGCCATCACAACTTTGAATACACAGAATGAATTTTATTATGCTTCTTTTCGCAAATATTGATAAGCTCCTTCTTTTTTAGAACCAGTTTGTCAAGTGACTATAGCCATAAGGTATAATTAAAAATATACTTATAAATAATATAAATAACATAGATACAACTGTAATAAATGCTCGGCAGGCTGCAGCGCGCAAGCGATCGGTTGGCCGGCCGCGCGATGCGCTGCGGCGCAGTACCTACGCATCAGCCGTTCTAAGGTTGTTAGTACGACATTTCTACGTAGATATTCTAAGGTACTTTTTCTCAGAAAAGGTTACTTCAATGACTATGCTTTCTTTGGCAAAATTACTTTGTAAAAGGAGACGATTATGAATGTTTGCGAAAAAATGGATGACAAAATCAATCCCATATTCGAAAAAAGATTGTATAACGATTATTTCTGTCATCGATTTTATGCTGAAAAGGTGCCGATTAATCGCTTTCTTGTCACCAAATAATACATTTATACAATTTTATCTATTTTCCACAACAGATATTACTATTATGTGCAACATATACTTCAAATATTTGATATCGTTAACGCGAATAAGGATTATGAAATGGTACGTATCGATTTACCCGAAATATTTCATAAATTAATTTCGCAACAGTATATTTTCAAATAATTTCACAGATAACGAGTTTTTTTTAATATCAGAAAACGGTATTTATTTTCAGAATCCACCAAATTAATTCCCATTGAAATTAATCTTCCATCGCGTGCTCCTTGCGCGGGCCAACCGAAATAGGCGCGGTATCGATAACAAAATTGTAACTTAATCTCGCTGATTAAAAGGTTTCAGCCCAGAAACAATTATTTTTTTAAAAATTTAACAAAAAATATTTTTAACAAAATATCCTGCAAACAGATAATCTGCTAATCTTGTACACACACACACACACGCACGTGCAGACTGTGTGCATGCATATATACATAAATATAACACAAAGATCTATATCAAACTATTGCGTATTCACACATTGTGTTTCTTTATTAAGCTTTCCATTCCGACAACCAAGCAAAGGCTAACAGAAGGGGTCTGACTGAAAATCAACTCTGCTATCCACCTCTGTAGTTTTAAGCTGAGTCATACCCCTGTTTGGCATCACAATGAATATGCATATATGCACTATTTCAGTAATAAATATAAATTTAATTACAAGTTTTAATGTACTTTATTTTCCATTAAAACATTGCAATATAATGCATTATTACTGCAATTATACCACATTATAAAAAAGATGTCCAGCAAATATATCGTATATCTAAGTCTAAACGAGGCACATCCAAGTATATAAATCGTTAAATCTGAACGTCTTACTGTATTTTCTCTGTTGACCTCAACATTCTTGTAATATTTTTACGATAAGGATAAGGAGATTATGAATTTAAAGATCCAGTTTAGCAAATATCGGTAAATACACAGAAATTACGAGAATCATTACCACAGAGTTGGCTGTTGGGCCCTATACTAAAAATTTGTAACAAGCTGTTTCACTTTGAGAAGAGGATGTCATTTGCTGTTGAGAAATATCCGTCTATCTACTTTTCAAATCCATGATCACTTCTTTGAAATCGAAGAGAGAAGTGAAGTGAGGTAAACGACATGCCAGAAAACATTGACGTGATGATTAAACGAGGAAAGTATTATGATACCACTCTTCTTAGAGAAGATTCGTACCTTGTGATGGACATTATACAAATATTAACCGAGTGTTTCGTGCTTTTTAAATCATCACAGTTTTTAAGATATCTTCTTAAAATAAGTCTTATTTTTACATTATTTTATCTCTTTATATTATTATTATTCTAGTCTGAATTGTACGTTAATTTAGCTTTGTACAGAAAAACTTAACAAATCACTACCAACTAACTTAAACAAATCAGCAACCTGTGTCAACCGAACTAAACCGATTTGGTTTTCATCGGAATTCGCTCGACGTTTAAAACGTTTATCTAGCACGATAAATCTACATTCATCACGTTTTTGCAACTGGAGTCGCTGATTCACTCATTGTGAATGGAATGACGACACTGTGTCCGTTCCGCGATGATTCAATTTATCAATGTTGTCATTTACAATCGTTTATGAGCACGCCAGGGCGTTTGTCCATCGAAGAACGACAATGCCAAAAACAAGTCCAAGGAACAAATCATATTGCAACTTTTACCATTCGATGAAAATTCTTTGTATGTATTATTTGATATTTAATCTAGCATTGATAAAACATAATTCGGCGGCCTCTACATACAGTATAAAGGATGAGATGTTTGCTTTAGTTCGCTAAAAGTTTTTTGTATTCGAGTTCGGATAAGCTATTAAGGATAAAAAATAAGGAATAAAGGATCATTTTTTTCATTTATTTATATCATATTTGTAAATTAAGTGTCCTACTTTTTGCCAGTATCTGGTGGTCCATGACTACCACATACTGCCAAAAAGTAGGTCATAGTACATAACATTATGCCTTTCATATAGGCTATACTAAAACTTTCACAAATTAATTGCTGACCGACTGTGAAAAAAGGTATTATTTAATACCGATTGATCAGCAGTTAAGGACACGATATCTTGTCAAACTAATATTTTACAGTTTTGTAATTGGTTACTTCTAAACATTTACAACAATAATGCGTATCATGATTAAAATTCCCTAAAAACTTTTTCAAAGATCATGAAAATGAAGTAGTAGAATGTTTTTAACAATGCCAAATTAACGCTCCCACCGTTCAAAGCAATTTTGACCGCGTAAATACAAAATAAGTTTATTGATCGTTCACATCGATCTTATCCTAGTCCCGCTCTCAATGCCGTTCTTAACCCTAATTCAGTTCCTAGACGTATTCTGATTTCGGCCACAATCCCGCTCTCGTTGTAATTCCTGGGTCCAATTTTGATCGAACTGTGGTGCCAATTTTCGTACTTATTTTATTTGGCTACGAAAATGAAGGCGCTCTTATACAATATGTTCATTCGGATTCTAGACTTTTAGAAGGTGATTTTCCAAAATTGCTGAAACAGATCGTTTGTAAATTCTAATTTAAAGCCTTAATAATACATTTTACCTTTTTAAATTCCGAATTTCAGTACAAATTATCATCTCCAATTATACCCTCTAACGAGGTTGAAATGAACAAAAATTCTCCTTATGGCATATACGCAGATCATAAAAGATTTCTCTTGTATTTTTCTTTTTGTGATTTTAATGCTTTTGTTTTTCCGCCAATAAGTTAATCAGGCCTTCCCTGTTAATGAGTAAAGATGGCAAATCAGCATAGACCAAACTAAATATTTAAAAAACTTTAGAACATCCGTAAACGCTATAACAAGTCTAATCAAGTATATATAGTCACTAAAGCGCTCTATTGTCTTAATTCACACGACGTTCATAAATGGGGTGATT